AGCGAGAGCAAAGCCACAGTCTTAACGATGCTCAGAAAGAAATGCACAGGATCCGGGCATGAAGACATTGATTTGATTTAACTTCTGCGAGCTGCAGCTTTGCCCTTCTTATTTACTGCTGAACTTCAGGACCTAGAACTTTCTAGAATACTACTGGCACTCAATACATATTGACTAGAGGTCACTGTTTATTTCACTCGTCCCAACGCCATTCGCAGGTCAGCTTTCTTTAGGCCTAGAATCTATGCTCCCTTAGTCTGATAACAGCAGTCTGATCATGATGGGAACCCGTCTTTCCATAGGAAAGGTGGCTGCACAGAGCTGTCTGCACCAGCGGCTTCAGGGGTTCCCATGTGACTCGAGCCTGGTCAACTGAGCATCAACTGTTCTGGTCAAGTGACTGATTCAAGAGTAAATGTGTGACCCAAGTCTGTCTACTAAGTCTTACTCTAAGATTGTGTGGAACTTAGAGCAATAAGGTGGGGGAGAACCCTGCCTTAGAATGGCATCGACGGAGAGGGAAGAGAGGCAACAGATGGAGAAGAAGTGACACTGGAGACATTGTTTGGCACCTGGATCCAGCCATGCCTGAAGCTCACGTACCCCAGGAATTTTTAACTACACGAGTTGATAAATTCCCACGTTTGCTTAAATTAGTTTGCACTTGGTTTTCTGTCATTTACAATGAAGTGTCGTGACTCATCAATGACACGGGGCCGAGTGACAGAAAAGCTTCTCCACTAAGCTCCCTGCCAGGTGTTTCCTATGCCTTAAGGCTCCCAACCAGGCCCAACTGCCAGGCAGCGGCCTGTCCCCTGGCAACCCAGACACTCTTCACCTTGACAGTCAGGCAGAAATCAGAGCTTCCAAAGTCTCTCTCTCTTTTCAATCTTAAAGAAAAAAAAAAAAAAGTCAAGGATGAGAAGGGCTGATGAACAGGACAGAGCGAAGGGAAGACACTAACTCGCACTTTCGACGCAAGAATCACATCAGTGTAGCAGCAGCAGCCATGGCTGTCGCGGATGCGGCAGTGCTGATGGTTAGACTTCGGCGGAGCTTGCCAAGTGCCAGGAACTACGCGGAGGCTTCTGCGTGTATCGTCTCGTTTAATCGTCACGACGACTTTATGAGTTAGGTACTGTTCTCGTGCTTATTGCGCCGGTGAGGAGGCCGGAGCACAGGGAGTCCACAATCGCACAGTGCTCTGGAGAGCACAGGCGTGAGATCGAAGGCTCCCAGAGAGGTGGAACCTTGTGATCAGGTGCACATCCCTTCTCCTTAGCCATGTGACCCCGGGGACAACAATACCTACCTCACCTACAGCACCGGCCCCTGCACACAGAAAATGCTCCCCAAACGGAAGCTGTTGCCAAGAAAACGCTCCAGTGGCTATCAAGTTCAAGCCTGTGGCTGGTTTTAATTTATACTAAAACAGATTTGTTTTTGATCTGTAATCCCGCCGTGCTAACTTAACTCTTTTTATCTTCCCCTCCAAATCTTGTCCATAGGCATCACGTCGCAAAATTAAAGAGTACTATAATTACAATGCCATTTTACATCCTTGCTGACTCGTGTCATAAGAATTTGCACGCAGCTTCATCATCGTGCACGAGGGCTGCAGATGGAGTCGCTGAGACCCGGGGAGGTGAGATGACCTCTCTGACGCAGCCCAGCAGGCTCCAGGCTAGGCCCAGAGGAGAACCAGGTGTCCTGACCCCTGCAGCCTGTGTTCCCTGTGGCCCTGGACTCTTACCGAGCAAGAAGCTCCACCGTCTTGAGTTGCTAGGCAGCTACTGTCCCAATCATGAAGCCAGGTGTGCCCTGCCTTAAAGAGTAAGTGTGAATGTGCAGGTGTGGCTGTGGGTGGGGGTATTCAGAAAAGGGAGTTAGGGACCTTCTTCCTTCCATACTTCCTCTTCTCCCACTGAATCCCCCGGCCCGCCCCAATCCTTCACTGAACCCAAGGAAGAGGCTGAGAAATGACTAGAATTGCAATTGGCAATGAAGAGAAAGACTTTTGACTCTACCACTCTGCGGCTTAGCTTCCCTGCGTTTGGAGGTGATGCTAATTCTAGCTCCCTCCCTCTCCAGCCTCCAGGACAAAGCAACCCCAGCCAGAAGCAAAGAGGGGCCGGGAACCAGCTCTGGGGTCCAACCCTGTCTCTAACCCTAGACCCAGAGTGGGGGAAAACTGTCTGGGATGAATCAAAATGAAATGTCCTTCTGCCAGAGGCATTGAAGGCAAAATTCCAAAGCAGCTTTAAGAATGCATAAGGGAGGTGTCCCTTCCTCCACACCCTGTCCCCCACCCAAACCACTGGTTCGTCATTTAAACTTCTCCAGCAGAGGCTTCTCTCTGGCACCCCCCACAGCACCCCTTCCCCACGCACTCACTTCCTACCTGTGTCCAAGCCGCAAAGCCCTTGGCCTCCCAAGGCCCCGCACCACCCATTCCCTTAAGGGACCATCCCTCTCTTCTCTCCAGGTTGCAATTAGCATTTTTCTCTCTCTCACTGCCATCTCTCAACTATTTACAGGAGCCAATGGGATAAAAAGAGACAACATAAAAATAGTTTCCCAGCAGCTTTCAGGATGGGGTGGGAGTGGGGGCACCACAGACTCTTGGAATTTTCTCTCTCCTTTGCAAAAGGGAAAAATGCTAGAATCGTTTATTTTTTCCAAAGTGCGCCCCGATAGGTCACAGACCACTCACCTTGGAGCTCCTTAGGAGCAGGGACCAAACCCCTGCATTCCTCAGTTTCCTGGGCAGAGCTTGTCACCAGCTCCCCTAAAAAGTATGGGTTCAGTGAAAGCTCATCAGGGTTCCAGAGCCAGCACTAAGTAAACAGGGCGCCCTGCTCTGCCCTCTTTCCATCACCTCCTGGGCACCCTTCCAAAAACATGAGCCAGTCAACAAAACTTTGGCTTTTCTCAATGCTTAAAATGTTTCATAATTGAATTAAAAAAAAAAAAAAAAAAAAGGCATCGGGAACACTACAAACATAACTGAAACTGAAAACTTCGGGGGCTAAAATAATTCCTTTTCCATTTTGGTCACTAACACCACCCCGCCGGCAGGGAATGCCAGAGCTGGGGCCTTCCTTGCGAAGTCTCACCGGACTCCCCTCCTTTGAAATATGCCCCCTTTTTATTGCTTTTCTGGAGGAAGGGAACCAACCAGGGAAGAAGGAAAAGATCGGACTCTTATTTTTCGGAGCGCGAAACCGTTCAGGAATGATTTCGGTGCCGTAGCCTCCCGCAGAAGGTGGAGTCCAGGCCTCAAGAAAATGGGTGTGGTCAGCAGGCCTGGCAGGACACCACACAGATCCCTGGGGACCTGGGCCTTGATTTTCCCATCTGTAAAACGGAGCCACTCGGCCTACCCAGAGTCAACACGCAGCCTACACACAGGCTCACCATCTGTGCTCCACCTTCCCCGGCTGTCACATGGCAGGGGGCTGAGCGGCAGCAGGTCTGTTCTGAGTCCCTGATGGCCATTCCTGGCAAAGCTATCAGGAGAGACTGAGCTGACACCGTGCCCGGCTGGGGGGTCGGGGCACGATCTGCCTGGTGAGGCTTTCTTTACTCTGTGGATTTACTCGCCTAGAAAAAGTGTCACAAAATCTACACCAATGGAATCACGTGGGGACCTACATTTAACCAGTCATGGTGACTGAGAAGAACGGAATTGAATGAAACCAAGACGCTCCCCATGCACTGCCCTTGGCGGGGAGCGGGGGGATGGGCTGAGAAGGAGCGAGCATTCTTGAGAAACGGGTGAGGATGAAATGAAGGGAGTCTGAAAAACGTGCCCGGAAGCTGGTCCCCAACGGACTCCCAAGAACCGTTCTTCCATCGCCCTCTCCCTGAAAACAGAGTGACAAAATAATGTCTTATGCCCCATGGTTTATTCATTGGGGGCTGCAAAGGCAGAAGAATGGACAAAGTGGCCTTAAGAAGCCCTTATGGTGGAACAAACCCAAGGAAAATAATGTCTTATGCCCCATGGTTTATTCATTGGAGGCTGCAAAGGCAGAAGAAGTGGCCTTAAGAAGCCCTTATGGTGGAACTAACCCAAGGGTCCATCAACAGATGAACAGATAAACAAAATGTGGTCCATCCACACAAAGGAATATTAGTTGGCCGTAAAAAGGAAGCACCGATATATTCTACAGCATGGACGAACCTTGAAAATATTATGCTCAGTGAAAGAAGCCAGACAGGAAAGGTCACATATTATTAACAGGTCAGTAGGGTAACAAGCAGAGCCTAAAAAAAGAAAAGGCCACTCCATAAGGGAACCGTAATTGCTTCAACTTCCAGGAAAGGAGGCACGGATGTGAACGCAAAGGTCGCGGCAGTGCCACTGTGGAGCCGGGGCTCCCTAACCCGGTCCAAAGGGAGGAGCTACTGGGAAAGCAAAACATCTGCGAAAAATAGCAATACAAGGACCTCTGACCCAAAGGAAAATCTGAAAGAGCGTTTGCCCCCAATCTCCTGGATCAGGAAAGGAAATGGGAACCATATGCTCCTCACAGTCCCCAGAAGACGGCATGCCGGGGAGAAGGTTCCCCAGAGACCCTGAACAAGTCACCTAGCCTCTCTGAGCCCTTCCATAAAATAGGTTCGTGGTGGGGTTCATGCTGGGGTAAGGGTGCCTGTGTGGGCCATGTTAAAGTCTGAGCCCAAATGCCTTGAAAACAGGCCTGGCCTGCCCCACCCGGCCCACCTCGTCCTCCTGATAGAGGTGCCTCCCCCGACCCCCGGCCACCAGCCCATCTTGGATCCAGGCTGAGGTTCTCAAGGAGACGGCAGAAAGTTTCCTCTGTGAGGCCATCCCGTCCTAGCTCCCTCCGCTCCTCCTCCCATCCAATCTCTACTTTTCATCCCATCCTTCCAGGCTCAGCGCAAATGACCCCTCCTTCGGGGAGCCTCCTAGATTCACGCCAGCCAGAGGAGATTTCTCCGGAACCCCCACCGCCCTCTGCTTCCCTCATCACCACGGCACTTTTTCCTCCTGGTGTTTCTCAACACGGGCGCTCGGGCATGAGGGCAGGGCGACTCTTCACATCTGCTGCGGATCCGGCCTGTTTGCAGGACATTTGGCATCTCCATCTCCTGCCCGCCGAAAAGCCAGGCATGCTCAGCATGATTCTGACATGACGACCAAATGTCACCCCCGCACCTTTCCAAACACTTGCCAGGAAGGTAGGACCACCTCTGATGAGAGCTACTGTATAGTTATTAGTAAATCTATTTGGCTACCAAGCCATTAACAGCTTTGCAGCAAAGACAAGCCTAAGTTGATCAGCATCGCCACCATACCTGCTTAGATCTGTGTCCTCACGGGCTGGTTTAGTAAACAAATCTGGACTCCTCGAGAAGCTAAGGGTGGCCTTGCAAGGGCCCTTGCTCTAGAAGGGGTGGTAAAGTGCAAAGGGTCTAGGACCTGATATACTTGGGTTGGCTGTGTGACCCTGGGTAAGTTACTTAACCTCTCTGGGCCCCTCCATAAAATGGGGCTAACTCCTAGAAACACTGCAGGATTGTTTCGAGCCTCAATCTCCTCATCTCTACAGTGGAGATAAAAACCTCAGCCTTGCATAATAGGCACTAAATGACATAATAAATGCATGCAACACATAGCACAGTATTTAGGGGCTCATCAAATGGTGGCTATTTTCATTACAAAAAATACCTGTGTGCTCTCACTACAAATGGCTGTTTTCTATACGGGTACGGTTTACAAACAGCATTCTGGAAGGAGGGTCCCAGCTCGCCATGAAGCTGCATTGGCATAGCATGCACTGTTTATTCTTAAGCTGCATGTTTCTGTGGGGTGGTTTGGGAGGAGGGGTCTAACTCCCCCAAAGCCCTCCCCGCTGTTGCAGCCCCTGCCTTGCCCTAGAGACAAGGGCGCCCACAGGTACAAAGAGCTATCCTCTTCTCTGTCCCCTGGTGGCAGAGCCGGGAGAGGGTAGTAAATGATTGCACAGCTCTAGGGCACGTGAAGTTTTTTTCTCTGGGACTCTAGGGATGCGCAGGTTGAGGAAGGAAAAGCTGCCTCTACGGAGGTGGACACTGCATGTCCCACCCCAAGGCCAGAGTGCCTCTCTTTTGCTGACAGCTCTGAGTTCCCCGCCTCCCAAACGCCATCCCTCTGCCCCAACCTCCGGCGGCGGTAGCAGGGGCTGAGGTAGCAGGGGCTGAGGTGCACCCTCTTCAGCGCCAAGTGCGAGCAGCCAGGACGGCTGGCAGAGCTGTGAAAACACCCCGCTTCCCAAATTGGGCAGTGCAGGGGGTGGGGAAGCCAGGAAAAGCTCGAGGCTAGAGCAGGTGGCACCCCACGCACCAAGACCCAATGCGAGCGGGGCAGGGCCCAGAATACCCGCGTCCCAGAGTCAGGCGGATGGTGCTGGTGAAGGCACCACTCCGCATACACAACGTGCTGCGGCCCGGAGGTGAATTTAGGTCAAAAGGACCAAGCCTGTGAGGTTCCGGCGGAGAGATGGGGGCGAAGGCAAAGGGCCGACTGACGAGGGGTCCCGGGTCCTACAGCTGGGGGCCTAGGGTCCCGCCGCCTAGTGTCCAACCCCCACCCCGGGGGGCCTGGGTTTCCCCCAAGACCAGCGGGGTGCGGGGGTGGGATGCTCCAAGTCTGTGGGCCCTCTCCTCCCCTGCGCGCTCCAGCTCCCCCCACCTGTCAAACGCGAGGGGGTGGGCCTAGGCCGCCTCCAGGATCCTTGTCTGCCCCCGCCCCCAGCGACCTGGGTTCCGAACTCCCGCACCGCCCCTGCCACCCCGGGCCGGTCGCGGCCCAGCCGAGAGGCCACCCCGAGGCCCCCGTGCTCCGAGGCTGCGGAGGAAGGGGCGCTGGGGGCCTCGTCTCCCACGTGGCGGGGGCGTGGGGCGGCGCACGTGGGGGTCCGCTCGGCGGAGGAGGCGTGGGGACTCAGGGCTTTGTCTGCA